TATACCAGCAAGGAGTTGTTGTGAACTGCTGTCAGATCAACCTCAATTTATGTTGAACCTATGAATGAGAGATCTCCAAGTCACTGTATCATCAACAGCTCTCCCTGCTTCTTGCAGATACAAGGCCACGATTTCCTTGATTGAGTCTATCCACTTGTAATATTGTTTTCCTCTTTTCCTACTGCCATCCACCTTACCACACATTATTGAATTTTCTAGTGAGTCATGCCTTGTCATGGTATGTCCAAAGTACAACAGTTTCAGTTTAATTATACTGGCTTCTAGGGTCAATGTAGGCTGAATTTGCTTTAGGAGTCATTTATTTGTCTTTTTAGCAGTCCACAGTATCTGTAGAACTCTTGTCCAGCACCACATTTCAAATTATTTTATTCCTACCAGCTGCCTTCTCTGTCAGCTTTCACAACTATGCATAGAAATTGGATATACAATGGGATGGACAATCCTAACTTTAATATTCAGTGATATATTTTTACACTTCAGGATCTTATCTAGCTCCTTCATAGCTGCCCTTCCAAGTCCATTGTCTTCCCTGACAGTGTATTGGTTTCAGTTTAGTTCTTCTGGCTCCCATCAGTTAGGTTTAATAGTGCCGTAGTGTACTTTTACATTATCTCTAAATCCTATGGGAATGTTCTTCATGTTGTATTTTGGCATGATGGTTGGTCTAGTGTTCTTCTTTAGCTTTACTTTAATTTTTAGTATTAGCAGTCATGGTCTGTGCCACAATCTGTTCCTGCTCTTGTTTTTGCAGAGAGAATGGAGATCAGCAAGAGATATCCTGATGCAATATGACTGTGTTGGTAACCATGCTGTAGTGGTGATGGGCTGGCATCTCTGGGGAAATGTTGGAGTTAGGAGGAGCTCTTCTACTATGACTGTACTTGCACTCATCTATACTTGCAGCGATACAACTGAATGTTGCAACACTGGGGAGACATATTTAATGGAGCAATGTGTATGAAATTTAAATTTAACTGCTATCTAAAGAAGATGAAGGATATGAAATGTTGAAGTCTGAACTTCAATAAATATTTAAATGTCTTTACCACACCACAAATATATTGTTTGAGTTGCATCCATTTACGTGGATTCACTCTCCCTCCCCCCTATTTTTAGCAGCATAGAAAACGTGCTTTTCTTAAATGTACTTTTGACTTTAAGCCACATAAAGTCCATAGTGAAGAGTTAGGACCTGTCACATTTCATTTTTACTGGCAATATATGCCATTGATCTTACCTTTGCTCATACATTTATGTTAACTGAGTCCCCTGATTTTGGCAAATAAGTCCACTTAAGAACAAAGCTTGTTTTATCAAGGATTGTTGTCATAATGTGAAATTTACTGCCAGCAATTTGTCTTTAACATTGCTCTCTTGAGACAGACAAATGCTGTTTTTGCATGTGGGTTTTAAAAAATAACTTGTGTGCATTATCAGGAAAAGAAAGATGAATTACAAGAGGTGTTTATGCAAAGGCTCATGGTCCGAGTTAGAAGTGTATTTGTATGAATATATGAGACTTTGGAAGCATATCTTTTTCTGAGATGTGGCTAAAAGAGAAGATAGTAAAAAGGTAGATTTCCAGAAACTGAAGGATAGCCCATTATTAAAGAAGTATTTTGACAGCTGCCTATCTTTGGATTTTGAATAAAACATCTGCTCATTTTTAATGTTTTTTTAAAAGCTAGTTCTATGCATGTATACAATACTATAGCTTTGGCTTTAAAATGATAGTAGTTTGGGGGAGAAGATACATTAATCTTCCCTTTCACCTGTAAAGTGTGAATGTAGATCAGCTCCCTAAAGCAAACTGTCAGGTTTAAAACTGACACTGTAGGGTATTCATGCGCAGGTATTCTGGATGGCAGTGGACAGAGCCAATTAGTTTTGTTTGCCAGGGTATGAGATGCACTTGGGCTACTGTGCCTCAAACAGCAACTGCATTTCCCATTTGAAAAGCCTTCTCCTCCTTTTTTAAAATGTAAAGGGAGTTTTAAACCCAGTTTTCAGTTTACTTAAAGAGTCTGCTGTTAAAAAGAAAAAGCCAAGGATTCCTTTAGGCAGGTTTTGGGCCCACCTAAAGTAGTTCTTTGAATACTGGACAAATAATATCTTGTCTTTAAAAGACCAACTATATTTGTCAGAAATCTGCTCTGATTGTCTCTAAAGAAATTTTCTAGATAAGCTGTTTTTTAATGAAACAGACCAAAATGTAGTCTCACACCTTTGATCATAATAGTAAACAAAACAAATGGCCTTTTCCCTTTGATCGTATTGCACAAATCATAAACAAAAGGGACAAAGAAGCTAATGTATAAAGCATCATATCAGGATAAACCATGGTGCCTTGTGTTGATAAACTACTTGTCATTTCTGGTGGCCCTAATAGATCATTATCACAGCAAGACAAATAGCAGGATCACTGCAGATCTATCTGTTGGCTTTTACTTTTACCTTCCCTTGGGTCAATTATTCACTTACACCAAATGAGAGTTGCAGTCCAGCTCCATGAAATTCCATAGGTCCAAAATGTACTGCAGAAATAATCCAGTTTGAGACCACTTCTAACTGCCCTGGCTCAGTGCTAGGGAATTCTAGGAACTGTAGTTTTGTGAGACATTTGATCTTCCCTGTCAGAGAGCTCTGGTGCCACAACAAACTACAGTTCCCGGGATTCCCTAGCACTAAAACAGGATAGTTAAAACAGTCTCGAACTGGATTATTCTGCAGTGTGTTTTGGACCATACTTTTCCTACAGAGGAGCAGAGGATTGTGCCTTCATCTTCAAATAATCTCTATAAATAATAATGGTATGTTTTGTCATGTGCACACTCATTTGTGTTAGAAGAAGTCAGTTTTTAAAAATTAGACTAAATCCGAGATTAGATTTACATAGACTTACACAGATTTCCATAAGTTGAAATGATTGAAACAAGTAACTTTTTGTTGTGTGCCTTCCAGTCGTTTTGACTTGTGTCAACCCTAAACTGAGCCTATCATGGCGTTTTCTTGGCCAGATGTGTTCATCGCATTGCATTTCCTTCTTCTGAGGCTTAGAGAGTGTGACTTGCCCAAGGTCACCCAGGGGGTTTTCATGGCTGAGCAGGAATTTGAACCCTAGTCTCCAAAGTGGTAATGAAATGCTCAAACCACTACACCACGCTGACTCTCACAAATAACTTACATCGTATTTATTTTCAATGGATCCATTCTAGGGAGGACTCTTGTTGGATTTAGGTAAATAACATAAAATCTTCCACTTTGGTGGGTTCTCCAGACCCCTGCTCCATGATAGACTTGTCAAAGATATTTCCAGGGCAGAGCTGTCTTCACAGATTGACCCAAGTAATCAAGATAATGGGAAATCACCATGTGATAATCCATGATTCAGTTGTACATGGTGTTAAAACCTCCACGTTTTTGAACAGTTACTTTTTGAAGTTTCGTTGCTATTTGGTGATTCAGTTCACAGGTGAAGTGATGGATGGAGTGGGTGGATTGTGTAGATACTTTTGAAGTAGCATATGGGCAGAAGGCTGCCTGACACAGAAATGCCCACATGTATACAATTGGTGGAATTAAGAAACTTTTCTCTATATTTCTTGTCTGAAAATTCTAATCTGAAATCTCACAAGTGCAAATAGCACCAATGCTATACATTTATGAACCAGTTAAAGGTTACTTGGGAGGTGTAAAGTTTATGAAAATGAAAGAGAAACTTATAATGGGAAACATGCCCCCCCATGTTCTTTGCTTAACTTTAATAAGTTTTATGATGGAAATATATCCTCTGATTAATTCAGAAAACTTTTTTAAAAAGATGCAGCTCTTCTGTTTGCTTAGGGTTTGTTGTGACCTATGTAATCTTGTCCAAAGCCTGGGAGCAATAATGCATTACACTTGTGAGGGAAATGTACTGTGAATGATAATATTGGCATGCTGTAGCTGGGAATTCTATCTTAAGTCAGCAAAAACGGATTGAATCTACTAAATGAATGCAGCCAACTGAGCCAAGCAAAAGTATTACTGGAATGGATTTGGACATAGTCTGTTGGCTAAACAATCTTACTATCTAGAATTTAACTGAGATGGCATTAGCACTTTCTGGGTTATGTGTAATTTAAAGAAATCGCCTTAGTCTCCCATGTTAAGGAATGAATCTCTTTAAAGGTTTCATGGAGAAGTCTCTTGTTTCTGTGTTGCCCTTGTTACTGAAAAATGTAGGTAGAATTGCACTGAAATGGGCTCACTTGTACTATGGTAACAGACTAGCAGTATATTCCACTTTAATTGCCATGGCAACATCCTATGGAGCTCCCTGGCTGGGGATTCAAAGGCCCCCATCCTTTAGTCCACAACCCAGGATACTGAGGACTAAACTATGGCACTGAAATTGGCATTATAGTGCTGCAATTCTGTGGTGTGAATGAGTCCCAAAATAGAGAACTGAACATTGTAGTGAAACAGGATGGAGAAGGTAAGATCTTTGAAAACAGAGGTCCCATCCAAAGGACTTCCAAAGGCATTGAGACTGACAACACACACCTGCCGAGGGAAAAATGAAAAACTAAGTGTTAATCACATAGTTTATTTGCTTCACGGAATATAATCACTTAATGTATGAAAGGGCTACACTTGATTGATGGATGAGGCCATTTTTTGTTAATAATTAGAATAACCATGTGTAACAATGAGAAACAGCGATTCCATGTACCATTTACCAAAGGTCCCTTCCATCCCTCAGAACTGATGAGAGGGTGCCATGGGGTTGTAGGAGGGTGGAAAAGGTGGGAGTTTCCCATTCCACAAATGGGCCAGTCATAGCTCTTTGTATCCAAGCTACTATTTTCCAGGGTAAGTTATTTAATGAGATAATTTTAGATAAGGTTTCCCTGGTTGGGCACACCTGGAATGGAAAAGATTATGGATGTGGCCACCCTGCAGAATTAATGCAGCTTGATACTGCTTTAACTGGCATGGCTCAGTCATATGGAATTTTGGAATTTATAGTTTGTTGTAACACCAGCTCTCTCTGACATGAAGGCTAAATCCAGTTGGCCCTCCATATTTGCAGCTTTGACTTTTGCGGATTTGATTATTCATGGA